ATCTATCTATCTATCTATCTATCTATCTATCTATCTATCTATCTATCTATCTATCTATCTATCTTTCTATCTATCAATCTATCCATCCATCCATCCATCCATCCATTATTCCATCTATCTATCTGTCTGTCTGTCTGTCTATCTATCTATCTATCTATCTATCTATCTATCTATCTATCTATCATCCATCTATCTATCTAAACATCCATACATTCAACCCATATATTATCTATCTATCTATCTATCTATCTATCTATCTATCTATCTATCTATCTATCTATCTATCATCTATCTATCTATCTATCTATCCTTCCATCCATCCATCCATCCATGCAAATTATTGTACTACTATTAAAAATAATCCTCGAAGTCGACACCCAGTTAATGGCACATAACCATCATCAACAACAACAAAATAGCCTTCGCCTTTATTCTCTCGCATAATAAATAGTGACGATATCAGAAAGTTTAATCGCGTGAAGGAGAGAAAAGTATGGCGTCTCCTCCATCGATGTCAAATCGCGGAGCTTTTGCTCGAACGGCCCGAAAAGCAAACTCTCTCGCCAGCGGGTTTCAAGGGCTTTCGAGGGGAAACCGCGGTAGGAAATTATTGGACGTGTGTGTGTGTGTGTGTGTGGAAGGAGGGGAGGCGAGAGGAGCTGGAGGGATGTATGGAAAAACGCTTGGCTCGTTTCCTCGCCCCCCCCCCCAACCCGCCTTATCTTTCAATGGCATTTGACATTAAAATAAAACGGAGGGTGGATCGCGCGTTCTCCTCCCGCCGCAAAGGCGAACTTTGTTTAAAAAAAAAAAATCCCCCCCCTCTCCAGAACGAGAATTAAATCCCATTAAAATTCCTCTGGAGTCCAGCCTGCCCGGGAAGGCGTTTCGCTCCAGATTCCAAGGCTCCGATCGCCCCGATAGATTGCCCGGAGTTTAATAAACGCCGGCTGGGACGCGGGGGAGCGCGGGTGTTTTCGGAAGGGGGCTCCCTCTGAATCTCTGGATCTGTTGAGACCCCTTTCGCTCGGTCTCTAAGCTCTCTCGCCTCGGCCCCACCGATCAGGACAAGGCCAGTGCGAAGAAGGGGTTGCGGGATAAGCGCCCCTCCCTCCCTCCTCCTCCTCGTTGATGGAAGCCAAATGCGTCCGGCAGGATTCCATTGATATAGATATGGAAAGGAATATTAGAAGCCAG